ATATAGTAATTCTTCCCCATAGTAATTCATCCCCCATATAGTAATTCTTCCCCCATAGTAATTCATCCCCCATATAGTAATTCTTCCCCCATAGTAATTCATCCCCCACATAGTAATTCATTCCCCATAGTAATTCATCCCCCATAGTAATTCATCCCCCACATAGTAATTCATCCCCCACATAGTAATTCATCCCCCACACAGTAATTCATCCCCCACATAGTAATTCATCCCCCATATTGTCTCAATTCACTTACCTTTGCTCCGCGCGTTCCTCTCGCTGTGTTCCCGCGCCGTTCTGGTCTTCAGGGCGGACTGAGAGAGGAGTTTGTCACTCTGCCCCGCCTACATCCTGGCTGCACCACCTACATCCTGACAGCCAATGTTTCACACTCCGCGGGCCGGATTTTTGAGGAGGGAGGGGAGCGGGCGCCCGGCACACAGAAGAGCCGCATGTGGCTCGCGATCTGCGGCTTGCCGACCACCTGGTGGGCAGTGTGCTCCGGAGCCGCAGCAAAGATGAAAAAGAGCCGCATGCGGCTCTGGAGCCGCGGGTTGCCGACACCCGGTTTAGACCCATGATATCTCACCAAAGAGCCCCAAAAACATAAGAAAATTTAAAAAATCATAAAAAAGCTTACATTAAAAACTAAAACTTCTAATCAAACTAAAAAGATATGCCCAATATGTAGCCTAATTTAGCCACACCCACTGTTCACCATCCCACTATCACCCTGGTAAGGGCCCCAGTGCATTTCTTAGCCCATGGGCCCATGATGATATTGAGGTGGCACTGCCATTACCCATACCTATACTAAAAACCAAGGGACATGCGGTATGAAAGTTTACATTTAGATGGCCAGTCTGTTCAAAGGTGATACTTTGGAGTCTGGTGAGTTGATTCATTCTTTGTCTTATAGCTACAAGTTAATTCTAATAGCTGTTATTGGTTTTGGTTCTGTTCTGTGTTTCTTGCATACTAATTCCTCCTGCTAAGTCAAGATTCTTCTCACGTGTTCCCCCTGCTGCGCTGTTGTACTTTTCTTACTGTAAATTATTTTAACAATTCAGCGAGTATAGTTGGCGTGCATTGCAAATGCTTACAGTGCCTTGAAAAAGTATTCATATCCCTTGAAATTTTCCACATTTTGTCATGTTACAACCAAAAATGTAAATGTATTTTATTGGGATTTTATGTGATAGACCAACACAAAGTGACACATAATTGTGAAGTGGAAGGAAAATGATAAATGGTTTTCAAAATTTTTTACAAATATCTGAAAATTGTATTCAGCCCCCCTGAGTCAATGCTTTGTAGAATCACCTTTCACTGCAATTACAGCTGCAAGTCTTTTTGGGTATGTCTCTAGAGAATTAAATTTTTCCCATTCTTCTTTGCGAAATAGCTCAAGCTCTGTCAGATTGAATGGAGGGTGTCAGTGAACAGCAATTTTCAAGTCTTGCCACAGATTCTCAATTGGATTTAGGTCTGAACTTTGACTGGGCCATTCTATCACATGAATATGCTTTGATCTAAACCATTCCATTGTAGCTCTGGCTGTTTGTTTAGGGTCGTTGTCCTGCTGGAAAGTGAACCTCCGACCCAGTCTCAAGTCTTTAGCAGACTCAAACAGGTTTTCTTCTTAGATTGCCGTGTATTTGGCTCCATCCATCTTCCTATCAGCTTTCTGACCAGATTCCCTGCCCCTGCTGAAGAAAAGCATCGCCACAACATGATGCTGCCACAACCATGTTTCACGGTGGGGATGGTATGCTTCTCTGATTAATTCTCTCCTTGCCTGGCCTGTAAGTTTAGGTGGATGGCCATGTCTTGGTAGGTTTGCAGTTGTACCATACTCTTTCCATTTTTGGAAGTTGGATTGAACAGTATTCCGTGAGATGTTCAAAGCTAGGGATATTTTTTCATAACATAACCCTGCTTTAAACTTCTCCACAACTTTATCTCTGACCTGTCTAGTGTGTTCCTTGGCCTTCATGATGCTGTTTATTCACTAATGTTCTCTAACAAACCTCTTAGGGCTCCACAGGACAGCTGTATTTATACTGAGAATAGATTACACACAGGTGGACTCTATTTACTAATTAGATGACATCTGAAGGCAATTGGTTCCACTAGATTTTAGTTAGGGGTATCAGAGTAAAGGGAGCAGAATACAAATGCACGCCACACTTATAGATATTTATTTGTAAAAATCTTTGAAAAACATTTATCATTTTTCTTTTACTTCACAATTATGTGCCACTTTGTGTTGGTCTATCACATCAAATCCCAATAAAATACATTTATGTTAAAAGGTTATTTACTAAAACTGGAGGGTGCAAAATCTGGTGCAATTCTGCATAGAAACCAATCAGCTTCCAGGTTTATTTCCAAAGCCTAATTCAATGAGCTGAAGTTAAAAGTTGATTAGCTACCATGCACAGCCACACCAGATTCTGAGTGCTCCAGTTTTAGTAAATCTACCCCACTGAGTGCATAGGATACCTTAACACAAGGGTGGGCAACTGTGGCCCTCCAGCTGTTGGTGAACTACAAGTCCCATCATGCCTCTGCCTTTGGGAGTCATGCTTGTAACTGTCAGTTTTGCAATGCCTCATGGGACTTGTAGTTCTACAACAGCTGGAGGGCCACAGTTGCCCACCCCTGCCTTAACACAACACGTATAAAACACTAAAAAAAAGCATGTCTGTGAATGTTTTGATGCATAAGAAGTGGGGTAATGGGCCTTAAGATGATTTTTTTGGATGAACTGACTCTTTAATGAACTTACACTTTTTATCCATCATGGAAAATTATTTAAATGTGTTAAGGGGACCATCAGGTTAGGGATAAAGTACAGGCCAAAAAAGCAGCAGACTAGGCACTTTACCACTGAGGTTAGTAGATTAATAGATTTGTTCTTCATCTTCAGCACTTTCTCCTTCTCATGGGTGCTAATTTTTTTTTACTTCCAATTCTTTCTTTGATCTTCTTGACCACAAGATTTCTAAATGTATTGTGTTACTAGTAATAAGTTTGCACTAAATTGTCGCATCAAATTTTTTTAACGTATTGTATTTTAAAGAACTCACCTTATACACAAATGTACATACAAAGTCAATAAAGCCAACTTGAAGTTTAGGGAGTTCTTCTGCTTTGTTCCTGTCCATCATTGGCTGAAAGAGAAAAATAAAAATATGTAGAGAGTACACCATCCTTATAGAGTGGGCTATTGTTGAAACCCATCAGGTTTTTATTACTGTGTCCCTGCTAAGGATATTTACCCTCTTGATTTGTCTAGATGAGCATAGTCACTAAATCATAAAGTAATCGGTAATTCAAAATGCTACAGTTGCCTCAAACAGGAGTGGAGGAGAAATCTTCCAGTGGGGACACCTCTTTATCACTAACTGCTCAGCCTCTATCTAGGAGGAGAGATTTGGAGATATTCCCTGTCACTTCCTGTTGTGTCTGTGGATCAGAAAGTGAAGGGAAATCTCTCCAGTTGGACACACATCTTAAAAAGATGTGGTTAAAGTTACCCAATGCATACAAAGAAGGCAATAAAAACCTGACAAGGGTTCCAATCTTTCTTCTCTCCTAAAACTGCATTTATTGAATTCCCATTGGAGAGCCTACCCCCATCTTGGTGATACCTGGGATTAACAGCCAAATGTAAAAGAAAAAATAGTTGCAAGCATGACTTGTTAGCTCCTTAAGTTGGCTGTTGAGCTGCCTATCTGATAGACCTCATATATAGCTCAATGGCCAACTGTAGGAATGCACATGGCAGTCTGACAACACTGCTGCTAATTGTCAGGCAGTGGCTTACAGTTTTTATCCTGCAACAGAAAGTGATGTTTCTGGCAGGATCACCAGGTTAGAAACTTTGAAACAGATAAAAAAAAATGCTTAAAGCCGACCTTTTACCATTCATTGCCTCTGCCACAGGCAGCTGAAAGTGTGCCACTCTCATCTAGGCAGGAATTGAGGAAGTGGGAGGATGAAGAGGCTATATTACCCTATTTACAGATCACAAAAAAATGGACATTTTTTAGCAATTGTGTGATAGCAAGGAGGTAGGGAATGGCAAAAAGTACAATGAATAGTGAAAGGTCTGCTTTTGAAAAGTTGTATACAGTGAGGCCTGATGTTGAACATACTAATAAATAGATTTTGGGCTTACATACACTTCAATAATAAAAAAGGTGGTTTTAATGAAAAAGAGGCCAAATACTGAAATAGGAATATAAAAGACTTTATTGGACTGAAGCTGTTTAAAAAGTGGTATATGCGTGTTCTTCCCTTATGTCAGGTGTACTAGTAAGGGTAGGGGTAAAATTGCTGACCTAACCTCCTGGGCAACTTTATCTTAAAAAGTGAAAGTGAAAAATATCATCTGAGAGATTATGAATTATTGGCTGGAACCTCTCAACTATAATTTTGCTAATCTACACTGGATCTGAAACCCAACGTATCAATTTTTTTTTTTGTTCAATTTGATTTAATTGAATTTTAAATCATAGGTACAAACAAATGGCAAGTACGGAGTTTGGTAAGTAATAAAAATCTGTTCTTCCTTTCCTTCTTCCCATGCCAACAGTTGTTCTAGGTCCCTTATAGAGTCCACCTCATAAGCCCATTCCCTAAGGGAAGGTATAGTAGTTGATTTCCAGTGGCGGGGAATGACTGCCCTCTTTTCGTGGATCTAAAAGGTCCAGGGAGCATGGACAGGAAGGCTATCCTGGGGTAAGCTTAAGTAGAGGTCACCATCAATTTACAGTATAAGTCGAATATTTATTGCCAGAATCTTTTTATGGAGGGGAAATCCTTGAAAAACAACCCCATACCATAATCCCCCCTCCATCAAACTTTACACTTGTCACAATGCAGTCAGGCAAGTACCGTTCTCCTGGCAACCGCCAAAACCAGACCCGTCTATCAGATTGCCTGACAGAGAAGTGTGATTGGTCTCTCCAGAGAACATGTCTCCACTGCTCTAGAGTCCAGTGGCGGTGTGCTTTAGGCCACTGCATCCAACGCTTTGCATTGCACTTGGTGATGTAAGGCTTGGATGCAGCTGCTCAGCTATGGAAACCCATTCCATGACGTTTTCTACGCTCTGTTGTGCTAATTTGAAGGCCACAAGAAGTTTGGATGTATTTAGGTATTCACTCTGCAGACAGTTGATGACTTCTGTGCACTGTGCGTTTCAGCATGCACTAACCCCGCTCTATCATTTTACGTGGCCTACCACTTCTCGGCTGAGTTGCTGTTGTTCCCAGTTGTCTTCCACTTTTGTTATAATACCACTAACAGTTGACCGTGGAATATTTAGTATTAAGGAAATTTCAAGGATGGACTTATTGCATAAGTGGCAACCTATCACGGTACCACGCTTGAATTCACTGAGCTCCTGAAAGTGACTTATTCTTTCACAAGTGACCCCTTCTTTCACAAATGTTTGTAGAAGCAGTCTGCATGCCTAGGTGCTTGATTTTTATACAACTGTGGCCATGGAGATGATTGGAATGCCTGAATCGAATGATTTGAAGGGGTGTCCCAATACTTTTGGCAATATGGTGTATATATTTAGACAAGCTAAGGGTAGAGACCGTGTGGTCCCACAGATGAATTGTGTTTTGGGTGAGATCACTGAAGATAGCTTGTATCAATTTTTTATCCTGACATGCAAAGCTCGTTCCATCCAGAACTCATATTACACATGTAGGATCCCTGCCTTAAACAGTAGTGTCCCTAGCCTAAGTTCAGTTATCCTGGGCTGTTGTCAGCCTTAGCTCTAATTGACAGTGCTGCTTTCTTCAAGTCTTCCCTAAACTTAATGTTATTGTTTGGTTCTGTGTTTTCAAAATGTATATCTTCCTGACCAACCACTGGAAGGTTTATTGCCATTGGCTCATGCTGAAGAAGCATATAAATATTTGGAGTAGCCTTGGAAAGCGCTCTAGCCCCCCATGCTTTGCCTGAGAAGGGTTAGTTCTGGACTTTTTCTTGCATCCAAGGCCTGCTGTCTGGGGAGGGGGTGCTGTGCTTCGGAGAGACCTGAGGCCTGAAGCTTCCTGTTGTCCTACTGGTAAAACTTTGTCTGCTGAAGAGTATCCAAAGGAGCTGGTTAAAGCTGTGTACTTTGCAGGACATTTTGATGGCTCAACCAAGGGATAGGTGTATTCAATAGAAGCTGCTCTACAGTAGGACAGAGTACCGTACTGGCTTAAAGGTCTTACTGAACTGTGATTAGAGAAGGTTGGTCCTTTTCCTGGCATCCTGTACTCTAATACTTCCCTCCCTGAGGTTATTGGTCATTTAATAAAATCTGTTAAACTATCTGACTGGTGACCAATTTCTTCCATCCAGGGTCAAGCATTCCACCCTGTGCTGAAATACTAGTCCATCGATCTATCTGGGGTTCCCTATCCCCGAACAGCCTTCATAGAGTGCTATACACAAAGTACATTAAAATATGATTGGCTTACAATAGGCTGCTGCTGAAGGACCGTCCTCTCCAAGTCTCCTTGCTCCCAGAATTCATTAGCAACCATAAGAGCCACCTAAACACAAAACATGGTTAGCAGTTCATCAAAATATATAAAAATAGCAAACCAGAATACTTTTTTATTTCTACCTGTATCTCTGCTAGGGCAATTTCCCTTCTATTTTTGTGTAGCCACAGGCATAGGACGCTCAATCGCTCCATCAGGCATGCAAGCAGCAGTACAATGTCACAAAACTATGTATGTATATTGTCTGAATTGTATAGTTGGGCCCCAACATCTCTCAAATTATGGAAACTATAGAACCAATCATACATGGGACCTTGAGGGTGCCTTAGTATATATACAGTATACATCACAATTAAAATTTTCGTAAATGTATTATAATGGCTCCTTCAAATCCTTACAGCAAGGAGGGTGAGTTAATTTCCTTCCTGGCAGGATCCCCTTAAGTATGATGGGAGGAGCTTACTGTAGAGGGAGAGCTCTGGCCACGGGAAGGGTTGCCATGTGAGTTAAGCACCTAAGGGACAGTGACTTTAATCTTTCTTTTCCTTGGAGGAGGTTCCCTTGATATGGACACAGTGATGCATCATCAGCTTCAAGAGAGTTGTGACGTTTACATGAAGGGAAATTAGAATGTTTTGGGGTCTGAGACCCGGAATGGCTGTATTCCCACTTTACTGTCTCAAGTAAAGAAACTGATCTATGTGCGACCTCAGTGTGCAGTTCTTCAGGTATCGCCATAGATGTGGAGATAAAGAACAAGAGTGTCGGTGATGTCACCTGACTGTCAAGCCCCGGGAATAGGTGGGCCAGGGTCTGGATACCCCTGGGGGTGAGGGTGTAAAGCCGCATAACCAGGAGGGCCAATAGAGGGTCTGTTCTCCAACCACCACCTGCACAGAGAAAGAGTGATTGCTACAGGACATGGTCTAATGTGCTCGAAACGTTAGTCTCTGTTAGGGGTGCTCCGTCTGCCAGCTGTCGCCACACACAAGATGAAGACCGTCGGTCACTAACAAGCTTGTTCAATTAAAGTGATAGTAAAGGTTCAATTAAAAAAAATGTCATGGTTACCTGCTCTGTGCAGTGGTTTTGCATAAAACAGCCCAGATCTTCTTCTTGGGTCCCCCCGCCGGCGCTCCTGGCACTTCCTACTTGACTAGTGCCCCCCAATAGCAAGCTGCTTGCTATACGGGCACTGCTGCGTGCTCACTCCCGAATCCTGCTCTATGCATCCATCTCAGCCAAAAAGGAGAGGGACTCCTAGAATTGTTGTGCTGGATCGAGAGGGGGCTCAGGTGAGTATTAGGGGGGGCTGTGCGGGAAGTAGCACAAAGAAGGCTTTTTACCTTCATGAATAGAATGCATGAAGGCAAAAAATCTTCATTCTTTGCAACCACTTTAAACTTTGACAATAAAACCTAGAAGCTCATTGGTTACTATGCACAGCTGCACCAGATTCTGTGTGTTCCAGTTTAGTAAATCCCCCATGTGTACAAAAAGTCAGCATGTGAGGCTGTACCAGGGGCGGACTGACAACTCATGGGGCCCCTGGGCAATAGGAGATCATGGGGCCCCTGTGTCCTTGCCCAAACTCAAAAAAGCCTATGAAAAAGGTACCAGGGGCATCTCATGGGGCCCCCTACTGACCCCGGGCCCTCGGGCAGTGCCCGAGTTTCCAAATGGTCAGTCCGCCCCTGGTCTGTACATATGGGAAGACAGTATGCTTTCTATGCACAATATGGAGAACTTCAGTTAAAACATATTTCCAGCCCAAAATGTTTTTCTTTGTTCTGAAAAGAGTGGGTAAGGGTTAGAACCTTTGTTGGTTTATACTGCATCTGGGGCTCCGCTTGTGAGATTTCTTTTCACTTCCTTCTTTGTTGACAATGTTTTGCCAGGCAGTAAAGTTCTCTCCAACAGCATCACAGACAGAACTAAAATGCTTTTCTTTGTAAAGGGATAGAACAGTTAAGATTTTTATTTCTGTCTGCGTCCCTGTACCAGATTTCTGCCATACTTCCTGTCTGGTGAAGCCATTGTCTGCAGGACAGGAAATGAGGGTAAATTTCTGCAATGGAGCCCCAGGTAGCAGAAACAACCTGACAGAGCTTTCCTACTCCATCCATAACTAAAAAAAGGGTTTTGGCTTGACCTGTTGTTTACTTCAAGCCTGTTTTTACTCCCCCGCAATGATCTGGTAGTGGTTCAAGTTAATGCTGAATGAAACTGATCCCACAGTATGATTTCTCAGTGTAAGCATGCATAGACCTAAAAGCACAAATGTAATACTGTATATTGGAGCCTACCAGTTAGCTGTGGTGGCTGCATTTTTTCAGGCTTTTTTTTTTTCATTTTCACCTGCTAATTCTGCCAGTAACACACATTGTTCTAGGGTGACAACTCTCATTCTACTGTATCTGTGGAGGAGCAGCGTTGTCACCCTAGGCTGTTCTCCTAATTTGAACTACAGTCACTGCCCTCTTTCCTCATCCCTATTAAATAAAGGGATGTTTTTTGTAGTTCACAGAAGATAGCTGTGAAGGTTGATTGTTTGACATTTTTGGTTCTCTGCACAGGAAACTACATGGACACTGGATTTGTGCAGAATCAGTAGGAAATAGGAAATGGTACTTGGCCTGAAAAAAAAAAAAAGAAAACCATCGCAGCCAATACATCTAAAGACTTGTAAGCTGCAACATATTACATTTTTGTTTTTGGGTTTAGATATACTATACTTTAAAGAAAACCTTTTCAGTAGGAAAATATTAAATTGATACTAATGGTTCATAATTTTTGTTTTAAAAATAACAAATATGTCATCCTTACCTGCTCTGTGCAATGGTATTGCACAAAGACGAGCATTTACCCCTTGCAATGCAAGGAGGATTCAACTGCGAAGACAGTTTTGAAATCTCCCCAGAGATCAGCTTTAAAGAGTAACTCCATGTTTGTTGAAAAAAACAAAATCCCCTCTGGGTGATCAATGTACATTGCAAGGATTTTAACAAAGGTTGTTGGCAGATTCCTACCTTTCTGCTCTGAAGAAACAGCAGTTTGTTATGTGCAGAGTGAATCTGAATGGGAGTGACTTTTTCGTTATTAATCAGCTGATGCACTTGCAGTGTTCTGAGGAAAGCTGCAGTGTCTGCATTTTAGAAGTAATGAACCCACTGAGGTGTATAGAACACCTCCAGGCTGCTATATTGCATTGAATGTTATAGAAAATTACAATACTGCTGATTGAAAAGGAAAGATAATTTTTAATAGCATTCAACTACAATATGGCGTGTGCAGCAATTGCATATAGTGTATTTTTTATTTTCTAATTTTCCCCCCCATAAAAGTGGAGTTACTCTTTAAATAAGTAAATTTGCTGATAACCCGCACTCAGATATGAACAAAACATACTAGTGTGTAAAAGTATTATATGTCATATACTAAGGATTGTTGCTGTTATGAAGTTTCTATAATTTTAAATACAAGGTACATCCAAATTCATAGCGCTACCCTGTGCAACCAACCTCAAAATGCTCAGAATATTTTTTTTTTTACAGAAATATCATCCAAATCATTAAAGTGCGTAGAGTCCAACAAAAGTGTCCAAACTGTACAGTTTCTGCTATAAAGTGCTGATGTTTGAATTAAAAAATTTTGTGCAGTCTTCCAAATACTTTGTGCTGATGTGCAAATCACTCCACTGCTTCACATGCATCAAACTCGGTGCTGTGCCCCCCTCAAGTGCTCTCACACTCTCCAGAACGTATGGACTTTATGCTAAAGCATTAAAAGCCATAAGCACCTTTTTTTTTTTTTGCACATTTTTGTTATCTGAGATCTTTATGTCACACATTTGTTTATGTATGCACTGTGATGTTTATATACGCTTTGTATAGCCACTGTTTAGCCATTGCTTCACATGCATCAAACTCTGTGCCGTGTAACCCTCAAGTGCCC